TGTATGGTATATGGGGCCATTCCGACCCGTTTTAGTGGTAAAAACAGGGAGTTGATTTTTCCCCCATTGACTTATAATGGGGAGGTCGCGAAATTGACCTGACCTTAGGTCACCGATATCAAAATTCCGAGATAAACAAATTGCACATACTGGTACCCTAACTAAACCCTGAAGAGAAGAAATTGATCGGTCAAAAACTCTAGCTCTGGCGTGATTGCAAACTTTTCTGAGGTAGCGTCACCAAACCGCTTCTGGTGACCTGACCTGAGGTCAGATCAACTCAAAATTTTCAGACATGTTGCGTAGAAGCCTTTTAGGAAAAGTCAGAAAATTTGAGCTTCCTAGCTCAACGCGTTTGGGAGATATAACCAAAAAACCTCAGGGGGGGGGGGCTCCTGAGGCCCCCCCCCCCGCCAGGAATAGGGTTAAATGGGTTTGTTCGTTGAAAAATTGCTTAAAACTTGGTCTGAACTTTGTTGTGGTGCCTACAGAGTAAAAAGAATCAGCTTTATGACAGTAATGTGGCCTGGGGAAGGAGGTAATTTTGGGCTGTGACGTCACATATTTGAAAGTTTGTGTTTGGAATATGGGAAGCCTAAGATGTTTAATGAAAAATAAATGCCAGAACCGTGTTCCTGGTCATCCAATCTATAAAGTCGGGCACAATTTAACTGGTTTTAACAACATTTTAGAAGGTGGGATAGTCCCTTTAAAATATAGTGCGGCCATGACAAGTGGCGACCATACTGGGAAAACATGCACATGGGTCGTTTGCTTCATAAGTAACAGACTACGGAATTTGGTGCAGTTTACTGTTCAGGCAATTTGGATTCGGCGGTTAACATCTTAGGCAGTGTTATGTAAATTTCAGCCTTTATAGTTACAGTATTCTCTTTTCGATGATGAAAACTCGGCTGGATTTCACCATTTATGTGCACTTACGTACCGTCCCAAGAAACTGCTACGCCGGGAAGTTTGGTGACAGCCGTAATTCCCTCCCAAACCAATCCCCCTGACCTACACCAGCCGTCCTATACCGAGCGACCACGCCCCCTCTCCCGCCGAGGCAGGTCACCGGTCGGTCGGTCGGTCCACCGGCACATGACACCAGTTCACCAGTAACAGGATACCGGCCGGGGCGGCGCCGCGCAGCGCACGGGCCACAATTAGCTCATGTGCGTCCAGATGACCGAAACGCGGTGCGGGTTCACGTGTTTGAGGAAAATCAGGCGCGCTGTAGCCGTGCTGCGATTTATATGTGCCTGGCTGAATGACTGAAGGTAAAGTAGGGAGAATGGGACATGGGACTCTGAGGACAGCCAACACAATCTGTCTGCCGCCAACGTCCTAGCAGTCAAGGTGCTCATTTGGAATTGGGGACAGAATGTACGGTACGAGAACGGTGTTGATTGTTCATTCAACCAGGTACGAGGCCTTCAGATCGGCCGTCATTTCGTGGCGCATGTCTCACCAAACCTTCCGCAAACCAAACGGTTGGACACCCGGAAACGCGCTGCAGACAATGAATATTTGGTGATAATCGAAACTTTGCCACTTTGCCACGGCTCAACAGCCAGTCACATGACCTGGTGTGACCTCTTTGACCCATCCGTGACCTCTCTGACCCGTATGTGACCTCCTTGACCGTTCCATTGTCTTGCAGACGTGTCGCTGACCACACCACGGGGCGCCGGCGGACGACTCCACACATCTGTCACGGCCCTCCAGACGACACTGCGCCACTGTCGACGCCGCGCCATATGTGACGCGGGCGAGCCGAACCCGGCGCGGAGAGGACGCCCAGCGGACGGCAGACCTTGTTGCAGCGGTACCTTTCTCTCGCCCTGTGTCCGGTATGATGGATAGGATAAGGAAGGGCCGGTGTCGCCGACGAAGCCCATACCGAAGGACAGTGCGACAAGCCTGGTGTGGCGAGGCAAACTGCCCGTCAAGCTCACCAGTTGAGACAAATGCCATCGAATTCGAATAAACGGACGCAACAGAGGCCACCGGAAAAGTTAATCGCTTCGCCAATGTCCCTATTTCCGAGCATCATTAACACGCGCACTGCAGGGGGGGGGTTGTTTTCAACCCCCCCCCCCTGTGGTTTTTCGCAAATTGCGAGAAAACGGCGGCGCGTAGCGCCGCCAAATTTTGCATACCTGTTCTCACAACTTTTGCACACCTTGAGTAAAAATTTTGACCCCAGGTGACCTATGGTCAGGTCACCAGGTCAGATCAAGTGACCCTACCTCGAAACGTAAATTTCGAAGTTTGCAATCCCACCAAGCCCACAGTTGTTGAGATATGATCTTGAAACCCACAGGAAATAGTAAAGTCATCACGAGCTACAACTTGTATATCTCGGAATTTTTATATCGATGACCTAAGGTCAGGTCATTTTTGCGACCGGCCCATTATAAGTCAATGGGAGAAATTTCAACTTACTCTGAATGCCATCCTATGACTTCAATACGCTCAGGATCATAGTATTACAGGTCCCTGTTGGTGATTTCACCGAAACATATCACTTATGACCTTTGGAAGGTGATCTCCAGGTCATCTTAGGTCACCTGAGGTCACCAGCGGTTTTTCTTCAATAACTTGAGATTGAGTAGAGATAGATACTCCGTTCGACGTTTATCGTGTTTTTCTCGTCAATGCGGATCGAATGATATGCAACATGACCTATTTCGGTCAGGTCATGACCTTGACCTGAGGTCAAATTTTCAACTTGACCTTTCGAGGTCATATTATATATCATTCGATGCGCCTTGACGAGCTAAGAACGATGGCGTTCGAATCGATCCTCTGTCTTGTGTGCAAGACAAGTTATTCAAGAAAAACTACCGCGAAATTCCTGTTGTGAAAATCGTAACATTTTGTCTTCGGTGACCTCTGGTGACCTCGTTTTTGACCTGACCCAAAAATGATCTTTGTATTTCTTGTCGATCTCATCTTAACCTATCCAACGCCGTTTACCGCTTGTCGCTACGTTGCGCCGTTTTCGAGATCTCAGGGGGGGTTGTTTTCACCCCCCCCCCCCTGCAGTTCGTGTTCGGCTCAGACCCGCTGCAGTGCGCGTGTTAATATTCTGGCGCCCGACCACGTTGGCACAGGTGAACTTAGTCCCTCTGCGTGTTCGGTCTGATGTCCCAGCCGAGCCCGGCCCTGCCCTCCGGCAGACGTTTGGCCGACGACACCAGTGTGTGCTGCCACATTCAGTCTGATTGGTGTCGGGCGGACCCCTCCCCCCCCCCCTCCCCGTCTGTCGCACTGGCCGTGACCTCAAGGAGCCGGCGGCGATTGGCGGAGGCGTGGACGGGGGGACGGGAGAGGGCGACGAGGTGCCAGGTGACGGAAAGACGGCTGGCCGATTAGCAAGAAGGGTAAGGGCACGAAAGCTCAGACGCTTCGCACGATGTAACCAGAGACATGTGGGCACGATCGCCTCCATGTTGGCAGATAAAAATGTCATACAAACGGTGTTCATTTAGGGTTGAGTTGAGACTGAAAAAGCGTTAGAAGTCGATCAGTTCCAGTAGGCATAAAGCCTAATGGAACTGAAGAAAGGACGAAGTTTGGTTTAGTCATACCTACCTATCAAACATACTTTTAAGTTACAATCCCAAACCAGTCGAAGTTCAAACTAGGCCATAACTAAAAGTGTATGTTTTATATGAAAATTGAAACCATTGATGAGAAGGTGCGGGTAGGGATCGAGAAAATAACAGGCTGTGTCTCAAACTGTAAAAGCTTTAGAACTTAGCGACCTGGAGGGGCTCCCATGATTACAGATTGGAGTAAAACACGTTTAGAGTGCTAAGAGCCTCATGAAACAGAAACTGGTTTGTACGACAGGGCCAGAGTGATCTAGATCACGATCGATAACTCTCAGAATGGGTTGCATCACGAGGCTGCGCCACAAGGTACAGAGAACGGTTCAGCGCAGCGCCTGATGCCCAATCACGACCACACTTATGTGTCTGATCACGAACTGAACAACGGGCCGGCCACGAGCAGCGGGTCACGGAGTTGGGAGATCTCATCGGGACGCCACGGTCACGGATGGACATCACGAGCCGTGAGGGAACATCATGGAGCACCACGGAACACCACGGAACACCATCTAATGGCATCGAGCATCTGGAGACACACACCACGAAACATCAGGACATACCACGAGCATAACGGGCACCGCATAGAGAAATACCAACCCCGTCGGAGCTTCAAGAAACATGTTATGAAACCGCGAAATATCAGGAAACTTATACTGACATCACCAAAGATCACGAACAGGTACTAAAGAACAAGAAACAACTGGTAGATCCAGGATCAAAGCCCAAGAAACGTGGGCTATGATCCTGTGAGCAGCTGTTGCGGCGCCTGACGTCTTTTTCCCCACTCCCCTATACCTCAGTTAAAGTTGACTGATTTACCCGTCACATCTCCCCACCCATCAGCCCCTCCCCCTCCCGCGCGTCCATCCCACGTCCCGCCGCGCTAATCCCGCTTCCGGCGGCGGCGGTCGTGTTCAGGAGCTGCTGACGTCGGCTGACTATCAGCTGCCAACAGCCGCTCACGGTCGGCCGCCGCCGGCTGCCAAAGAGTCGGCCGTAAACCGCCGCCCGCGAGCCCGGCCGGCCAAACAGGCGCGGAATTCGCCACCGCGCCGCGCCGGCACCGCCTGATTTGTGTGCGCTGTGGCCGACTCATGGGCCACGAAAACCGTCCGCTGTCCTCGACAGGGACTGGCTGGCGTAAACGACCACCGTGCGTCGCCAAAATAGAGGCGGGCCGACACAAAAGACGCAAACAGAGAAGAGAAGAGGTGTAAAGCGGAGCGGAGTAGGAACAATGGATGAAAGAAACACGGGGAGAGGTGTGTGGGGCTGTTAGAAGAACGGTCGGATGGAGGGACGGGTGTGGGGAAGAGAGAGCGAGAGAGAGAGAGAGAGAGAGAGAGAGAGGGGGGGAGAGAGAGTGTGTCGGTGACTGACCTTGCAGTGGCCGGCGGCGCAGACGTGGTCGGCCCGGTCGGTGCCCCCGTCAGGACTGCAGCGAGTCCCGTCTATGACCCGTCGCCGCAGAGTGACGTAGAACGAGGCGTTCTCGGGGCCGCAGGTCAGCGAGCACGGCCGCTTGGCTGCCGGGTCAGAGTGCGGGTCAGAGGTCAGGTAAGGTCAGAGGTTATGTCACAGATCAGGGCTAAGCTTAGGTCAGAGGTCATGTCAGGGCAAATTAGAAAATTATCCATTAGAAATAGGAAAAAAAAACTTTCATGAGCAAGAACGACCAGTGGTCACAGAAAGGGACGGCGAAAGGCTCAGACTTAAGACTGGTAAATGCCCGTACTGAACAGACACTGCTCTCTATCATGCTCACTTAGGTTCACCGGCACCACCCATCCACGGCGTAGCACCGCCCGGGGCCATTGCCGGTCATGGCCCATACGATTTCCCGGCGACCACGCGACATGGCTTCGGTCGTCGGCTATTCCGACTTTGGCTCGTGCGCTAGCTTCCGCAAGGTCAACAAACACAGACGCTTTACTGTCACTCATGGGTAGGGTCAAAAGTCGGATCAGGTTAGCAACAAGGTCATCTGATCCAGCTCTGACGTCAGAGGTCAGGTCAGGTAAAGGGGTTATTTCACTGGCAGGTGTTGGGTAAACTGTGGATATCAGAGTTAAGGTCAGTAACCGTAGCCATACGTTATGCTTGGTCAGCGGGTAGGTCAGCTTCCACGTCGGATGATGACAGCGCAGGTCGGGTCAGGTAGCATAATTTCCGGTTGCAATCAGCTGCCCGATTGTGACAGCCGTCGATCTATGTGTCACACGAGACACCCGAGAAGTGCGAACCTTAGCTGCAAGTTTGCCGACCAAATCACCCAAACAACAAACATATGAAGGCTCCAATACTTATACCCCGCCGGAAACGATGACAGACTGCCCCAACCGCCCGACAGGTCAGGCCTGTGGTGACATCACCGAAATCAGATCTAGTCTCCCAGCGCTGTGACAAAGGTGGCCGGCGGACTCCGCTAGCCACCACACCGCGCGGCCAGCGTTCCGCCCACCCGGCGCACATGCATATACATAAGCACGCCCTGAGTCGGGAGCGTTTCGGTCGACATACCTGCCAGTCGGTACCTGCCAGCCCACCACGCCGGTTCGCGGCCGTTCCTATATTTGATGCATGGCTGCTGGCTAGCGGCCAGGTACCGCACCCTATAGGAGGTGGGCGCGCACTACATGCATGGGGTCGGGGTCCTCCAACCCAGAGGAGCAGCGAGTCGGGCGGACACCGATCATAATCGGATCTACTATCGATCAAATCTGTTATCTCGCCTAATTGGATCATTTGTTGTCAGAAACCATGTAGATAATGACCTCCATGACAGGTCCAATGTGTTTTATTCAAAGGTCAGGCCATACCATTCATTAATCGAGTCAGCCCGTCGCGCCCTCTCTCCCCCGGTCTGGGGTAGAGGCAGGGGTCTAACCGTGTCACCCGTTCGTTCCGGCGATGTCATGAGATGATATAAACAGCCAATCGGGTGGCACATTACGGAGACGGCCGGCGGCCGATGATCGGTGGGGCGGCAGACGCTGGCACCGCCGCAGACGGACGGGATAACACGACCTCGGAGGTTAAACACGCCAATCGGTGGGGACCGATGCGGGGGCGAGGGAGGGGATGACATCGGGCGCGGGGTGGCGAGGAGGCGGGGTAGGGGTGGGCGTAGGCAGCAGGGCGAGAGGGACGCAGGGTCAAGGGCGGGGATGAGGGTCAGGTAGGAAGCGTCAGAGCAAACTGATCATGAGGAATGCCTTCCAGGTAAGGTGCCAACTGGATTACAAGGTGTGATGCGATGAGAGAGCGATAGAGATCAGCAATTAGAGCTGACGGGGAAAGGACAGCCGGTGTCCTTTTGTGGTTAGGCGTTGAGCGGTTTGACCTGCTGCGATCTGATTGAGACTCACTGCTGTAGTGAGGACGCCAGCGATACAGACGGTCTTTGTAGGGCTTCTCGTTGAAGCTAGCGCACTGCTCTGCCCGAAAGTCACCGGCCTCAGGTGGACAATCCTGAAACAGGTCAGTTTTCACCAGTGAGCACAAATTCGACACAATCTAACTGAACAGCCCCTCAAAATATGGTGGTCACGGTCATATAAGAACATGATCGTCATTCAATGCCCTTAAACATGGGCGCAAAATGACCACCGCAGTCGACGCGCCCGTAAACCCTAATAAACAAACAAATCAATGCCCCTAAACTGTAAGATAAACAACTCATTCAAACAAGATTCACTAATAATGGTCCTCTGCTGTCTGGAAATCGCGGGTGTTGTAGCGAAGGATAGCTCACCTCTTCGTTACACATATGAAATCGTTTATCACTGCCCACACATTGGATGGGCCGCAGCCTCCGTCTTCCGGTCTCCGCCCTTGACGGCGGCTGGTCCCAGCTGAAACGAAAACCAAAATGAACTCAACACCGAAGTTGCTATACTCTTACATGAAGCAGGTCAATTGTTGTGACTGATTAGCGAGAAAAGTCACGTTCACATTCTCCATGTCAAGTAAGTTGCACTTCATCGATCCCATTCATCGTCTTTCATTCATTCCGATTGTCTGTTCCATTTCTGCAAGACGTTCGCTATGCAAGCCATTGATCACGGACAATGGCATTGCAGCTTTATTCTGAGTGTCACAGCTACTTGTCTGCTGTACTGCGCTGGTAACGCCTAAGGCATCACACAGCCAATCATATAAGACGAGGGCAAGCTAGTGTCTGCAGAACGTGCATGTAATGCACCACCGTGTTTTAGCGATCAGCTTTAGGTCACAATACTAGCCTGGCGGTGGCGTTCTCTGCCGACTCATTTCCCAAACAGTGTCCAAATACCGCCACCTTATCATTCTACCCCCCCCCCCCCCCCTCCCAGTACCGCACTAACCTGTCTGTCCCGTTGTCTTTAGCCACCTTCTCCAAGCAGAGTCTGGTCTGTGTGCGCACGCCGCCTCCACAGGAGCGCGAGCAGGCCGACCAGGAGGCCCAGCCGGACCACTGTCCCACCTCCGAGCCGTACCGACGACGGGCCAGACGCTCCTGAACCATGGCGTGCACCTGAACATCAGCCGGGAGGGGGTCAGGCGATGGGTGGTTAGACGCTCAGACGACGGGGGAGGGAAGGTCAAACGATGGCGAGGGGTCAGGCGATGGGGAAGGAAAGGTCAGACGATGGAAAGTCAAATGACGGAGAGGGAAGGGGAGGGAAGAGGAAGTTAGAGGAGAACGGATGACCAGACGACAGGGGAGGGAATCAGGTGACGGAAAAAAGTAAAGGCCGCCGCAGAAGTAAATATGACCTAGGATGGCTATTTCATGTTTATTAGAGTGAAAGCGAATGTGATGTAGGTAACGTTTTTGTTTCATGTCTTTTTTATTCAAAATTACGGAGTCTTGTTTGATATTAACTTCATATCGACGACATACATTGCCAGCCAGACAAACACGAAATCGGCAGTTATTATCCAGGAATTCATTCACTGTTTCTGTGAGCCGAGGAACCCGTCTGGTACAGCCCCGTCTGTTAGTAGCTCGGCTAATTGCGGCCTGTAAAAGTGCGCGTCCGGTATGCACAAGCCCATGACATAACCCCCGAGGTCGAACCCGGGGGACGGGTCAGGAGCTGCCGAGGGGAGGGGGAGGAGGGGGCTGCCAGGAGCCGTTTACGGCTGAGCTCGTCTGCCAGCCGACCAGGCTTTCAAACAGGCCCGCCGGCGGCGCCATGTTTGATTACAAACGCCGCTGTCATCGCTCAATATAACATCTCGCCGATCGCGTCCGGTCTGCCCGTTCAGCCGCCCCTCCCCCTCTCTGCTCATCCCCTCCTCCACCCCCACGGCCGCCCAAATTCCGGCAGGGCCAAGTCGGTCGAGGAGTGCCCCAGTCGCATGCCATTGGAGGTCAATGGGTCCGAATGCGGGGGGGGGGGGTGGGGGGGGGTGGCTGACCGAATTCGCAGACATCATTCCTCGATTCCATCAACAATCAATAGTTTCTTCAAATCATTCGTTACTAAAAGTCCAGCGAAAAGATACTATACATACTTATCAATGAAGAATGAGCATCGGTTTTCAGAGCAGTCGGTATTACGCTAGTTGGGTGTTTTGCCAAAATGACGAGCATGCATTCAATCATCGACAGCTGCGTCTCCATCGTAACCAGGGGTTTTCTAAGATTACCGTACTGAAAAGTGTGTGGTTGGTATAAATTATTCACAATTTCATTCGAATTATGACATTCATTTACATTTCTAGGAAATGTGGCTGACGATGCCCTAGGCTTCATCTAGCTGTTTTCATCTGCAGGTATCTTCTGTATTGCATTTCGGCTAAGCAAAACTAATCCTGTAGGGAAGCGGGAGAGCGAATCCCACCACGAGAATCCAGCGACTGGGAAAAAGGCCCGAGGAACCCCATTCCCATGAGATCAAGGGCAGTTATAGGGTGAATAGGTCAAAAACGCCCCCATTAAGCGCGAAACCTTCTTACACTCGACCCAACCCAGATTACTCAAACCTTTGGGCACCATCAAGTAGCTCATTCTTTTTACTACGCTTTGAGACCAAGAAAAGACACTTGCGTGTGGTATTTAACCCCCCAAAAAGGTTTCCGCATACCTTTACAAAAGGGCGTTTTGCCCCACACCCTGGGTAATACGCCCACACCCATGGGCAAAGCGCCCCCACCCCATCCATCAACAGAACATGATGAACATGGCAGAACTTGACGTCATTCTGACGTCATTTGTGGTCAACCTATCATAGCCTTTGGAATAAAATTTTGTTGCAATGTGTAAAATGGATGCCCGGAGGAGTCCTGAAAGTTTGGTGACGATATCTGCAGTCGTTTAGGATGTATCAGCAAAAAAGGACAGGGAGAGGCCTTTTCGGCCCCGACCTACAGGGCGCTACCCTGCACTCTCACCACCGTGCAAAACGCCCCCCTTTCAGAAAACTGGGGGCGTCTTGCCCCATGCATCGAGTAGGCGTCTTTCCCCATCCACTCCATTTCCGGTCAACAAAATATTGACAAAAAACGCGCCACTAACGCTGCAGCATAATAAATTCAACAGAATGACAATAAAACGCAGTTTTGAGTGATATGCACAATAGCAAGTTTTGTGATATAAAGAGAGCATCAAAATCTTAGGAATCTTCTGTAAAAACAACAAAAACAACACCCAAAACCAACATCAGCACCTACCCACGCTGCTCCTCAAGGCGCAGAACCGGAAATGGAGAACTACGTAAACAAGCAGCCAGTGGCGCACCCAAGGGGGGGGCCTTGGGGCCCGGGCCCCCCCCCCGCTCGGTCATAATTAGGAGGCCCCCTGAGCACCGCTTAGGGTACTTTTACACTTGACTTTCCTGCCTAACCTACTATAATTCTGCACAAGATGCACTATCTGGGCAGAGGCCAGGAGGCCCCCTCTGGTAGGCGACCCTTGATGGGCAGGAGGCCCCTTCTGGATGTGAGGCACCTTCTCACAGGAGGCCCTATCTGGGCAGGAATCAAGAGGCCCCCTCTGGCAGGAGATCCTTCATGGGCAGGAGGCCCCCGAGGCTCCCTCTGCACAGGAGGCCCCCTCTGGTAAGCGACCCTTGATGGGCAGGAGGCCCCGTCTGGCAGGGGACCTTTTATGCACAGGAGGCCCCTTCTGGATTTGAGGCACCTCTCACAAGAGGCCCTATCTGGGCAGGAATCAAGAGGCCCCCTCTGGCAGGACATCATTCATGAGCAGGAGGCCCCCGAGGCTCGCTCTTCACAGGAGGCCCTTTCTGGACAGGAGCAGGAGGCCCCCTCTGGCAGGAAAGCCTTTATAGGCAGGAGGCCCCTCTGGCAGGACACCTTTTCTGCTTAGTAGGCCCCTTCTGCATGGGAGGCTCCCTTCTGCACAGATGGCCCTATCTGGGTGGGAGCCAGGAGGCCCCCTCTGGCAGGAAATCTTATACTGGGCAGGAGGCCCCCTCTGGCAGGAAATCTTATACTGGGCAGGAGGCCCCGAGGTTTCCTCTACTTAGGGGCCCTTTCTGGGCCGGAGTCAGGGGGCCCCTCTGGCCTCTTGCAGGAGACCCTTTCTGGGCAGGAGGCCCTCTCTGGATGGGAGTCTCTCTCTGCATAAGAGGACATATCTTGGCAGCAGTCAGGAGGCCCCCTCTGCACAAAATGTCCTATCTGGGTAGGAGCCAGGAGGCCCCCTCTGGCAGGAGATCCTATATGGGCAGGAGGCCCCGAGACTCCCTCTGCACAGGAGGCCCTTTGTGGGCAGGAGCCAGGAGGCCCCCTCTGGCAGGAGACCCTTTATGGGCAGGAGTCCCCTCTGGCAGAGGACCTTTTATGCTTAGGAGGCCCCTTCTGGATGGGACGCTCCCTTCTGCACAGAGGGCCCTATCTAGGCAGGAGCCAGGAGGCCCCATCTGGCAGGAGCTCCTTTATGGGCAGGAGACCCCGAGGCTTCCTCTGCACAGGGGCCCTTTCTGGGCAGGAGTCAGGAGGCCCCTCTGGCCTCTTGAACGAGACCCTTTATGCCCTCTCCTGATGGAAGGCTCCCTCTGCACAAGAGGCCCCTTCTGGCAGGACTCTCTCTGGATCCCCTCTGGAAGGAGACCGTCTCTGGGAAAGAGGCCATCTCTGGATAGGAGGCCCCTCTTCACAAGAGGTCCTATCCGGGCAGCGCCTCGCCCTGGCAGGGCATTTTTCATAACGCGGCCTGGCAGAGGGGGGGGGGTCGATGCGACCCCCCTCGCGATTGGATCCTATGGCACCTAGAAATACCAAATTTGGTAGGTAGGTGGCCCTCTTAAAATCCTCGTCCCTGTGCAAATTTGGTTGCTCTAGGTCAATATTTAGGGGTTTTTGGGAGGTATAATTGTAAAAAATTTGCTAAAACAGGTCAAAAGTTTTCGCTGATAACTTTTGATCTAATTAACCCGCGCCGGGCAGGTGCTCCGCGACTTCCGCGCCGGGCCGGGGGGGGGGGGTGTCTGAAAACCCCCCTTCTAACTCGGCTCCTGGGTCACGTAGCGACACGCGGTAAGCGGCATTCAAAAGAGCGTCCAAAATAAGTACGAAAACACTTCAGTCATTTTTTGGGTCAGGTCAAAGGTCAGGTTACCAGAGGTCACCAAAGGTAAAATGTTGGCTATTTCAACATTTTGGAAACTGCCAACGGCTAACTCGGGAACCGATAGAGCTACAGCGCCGCGGAAAAGCGCATTCGATAGCTCTTTTGACGCTCTTTCGCCAATATGTCCTCAGATTTGACCTCAGTTCAACGGTTTAGCCTCCAGAGGGCAAAAACTCCAAAAATAGCCGTTTTTTACGAACAGTGTTTTTCGGCAATAACTTCTGACTCAAAAAAGCCACGACATTACT